TATATATACTGTACAATCATCATGCAGATTCTGGGCGTCCGAGCCCACCTACTGCTCCATTGACCCTCAGAGACACTGACCATCTGATGGGCGGGACAAAGCCCAGCATTTATCCAATGAGTCGTCTCGTTTAGCTGCAGTCTTTGCATCACTAATGAGCTCTGCAGACGCTCAGCATCCGACTGTTTAAAGCTGTGAAGCTGCAGGAATGAGGGAGAGGAAAGTTGCGTCGTTACAGTGATAAGAAGCTGATTCTGAACAAAAGTTGTGCGTGTTGTAGTGTGTATTTAGTCAATGACATGAACACACAACAGTGTGTATTTGATCACTTATTTTTTTACATTTTAGGGGAAGCTGAGCTTCTCTTGCAGTCTTAGAGCAATCACCTCTGATACATTGATAAGGCATTAATTCATTATATTTGGACAAAATGTGATTTTTGCACTTGTTTAAATTAAAACCTTATATCTGCCTGTTTCTCTATCTATTCGATGTGATGGGTCACATATTTTCTTATGGCAGCAGACAATGTTTAGCCAACACATGCTTTTATTTTGAAGGTTTTGTCATGTTTCATTGTTTTACGCTGACTGTTGTCTTCTGACACTCCTCTGGATGCATGCAGTGTAAATAATGAGGTCTTTTGTCAGTTTAATGTTTTCTATCAAAAACAGTTTTTTTTTATTAATGACAGTTATTTTAACAGAAAGAACTTCAGTATCTGCATGGTAATAATGCTTTAAGGTTGCAGCTCATTCTCTTTTTAAATTACACGAGTTCATCATTTCATATTAGGACATCATTCCTGACGTCATGTGTTTGTTTCCTCAGGTGTTCCGCTCCAAACTGGACAGTGACCCTGGTCTTTCTGTCCATCAGCCTAAATCAGGCTCTGCGTCTCCTCTACAGCAGGGAGCAGCAACACTGGGACGAAACTCCAGCTCCAAGGTAGACCAGGAGACCAGGGGTCCTTATCAGCGCCTCTACTTCCTGTATGTACTTAATGTTCTGTCTGTCTCTGCAGAGTCCACTGCTGTCCGTCAACAAGACAGGAAGTCTGCCCAGGAACCTGGCTGCAACTCTGCAAGACATCGAGACCAAGAGACAGATCAGTCTGCAGCAGAGAGGTACCTGCTGCTGTGCCACACATGATTTAATGATCAGACAGGCTTAGAGCAGCAGTATTTACAGGACACAGAGCAGAGTCAGGGATGTCCTCCAGCAGAAGTTCTGCAGGCTCATTCACACACACTAAAGCTGATCTGTCTGCTGCAGTTCAACAGTGACACAGGTCTTTACTGTTTAAGCACCTTCGGTTACAAATCAAAGAAAGCTGCAGTGTGTAAGATGGTGAGTGAGCTGGTACCGGAGTGGTTCTGGGCTTCCAGCTGCTCAGAGCGGACCGGGTCAAGGATCTGTTGAGCAAAATGAAGGAATGTGATTTTATGTCGGTGTTGTGATGTAATCTGTGTGGCTCCCTGTCAGTTCACCTCATTCATCTGGTCGGTGTTTCCTGCAGGCGCTGACGTGCAGAGAGCTCAGCTGTGATCAGGTTCTGTGTGCAGCAGACACACTGAAGCCCTGTTCACACAGGATAAACGTTATCTAGAGACCCGTGGGATAAATAAATTACTCCCTGTTGTTTATGTGGTGCATTCACACAGGAGAACTGAAGCTGAGATTCTGATGACATTTACAAACATCTTCCAGATATGATACTGAAGCCTGGTTTATAGTTGAACAGTTGAAGATGGCGAGGATGTGCATTCAAACCAGGGCTGTAGTATATGTGGTACATAGTACACACTGACCCTGTACCATCCTGTCATCAGTTACATCATCACACCTGTGTCAACATGGCTGCAAGTGCAGAGACACCTGAGCAGGAGGACTTCCAAATATTCTGAAAATAAATGAAGAAATAAAGTGTTTTAAAACACATAGAGAGAATAAATCCTGTAAAGTTCCCCTCCTGCTGTAGAAACGTTACGTTGTGCAGTTGTGTTGCAGGATCACTCCCTCCCTCCTTCCTGCTGCACATCCAGTTATAAAATAGTTGTATGACAGGACAATGTGCAGCTGAAGGACCTTAAGGTCCTGTCACACTGTAACAGTTTAGGCAGCTGAGACTAACTTAGAACAGTTTTTATGTCTAAATGATTTAACTTGAAGTCCTGGTTATAACATTCACTTTAGACAATTTTAGAAAGGCTTTTGTTTGTTGTTGTTGAAACTGTTTTGCAATATACATAAAGCATACTTTTGTACTTCTGTTCTGCTCATTTGCAGACCAGTAAAAAAGCAGTGTTTGATTAAGATTACCTGAGATACATCAGGACAGATTAAGATTACAGTTCTCTGATCAATAAATGCTCTAACAATTCACTTATCTTCACTCAAACACTCTAACACTCAAACACTCTAACACTCAAACACTCTAACACTCAAACACTCTAACACTCAAACACTCTAACACTCAAACACTCTAACACTCAAGACAGTTAAAACTACAAGCAGTTGAAAATAAAACGATGAAAGTAAAAATAAAATTGGTTAAAAAATTGGGCAAATCAGAGATGTTAAAATAATATTTGTGTCAAACAGGAGACAAAATGTGTTAATTTAGATACTGTTTAATTATCACTACTTTTATAAGGTTCTGTATGTTGTTGATTAAATGCAGCCAAATAAACTATTTCAAAGATAACAGATGTTTGTAATACTTGGTTTATTTACATAATGACTTTAATTACTGGATGTTCGGCCCCTCAGCTGTTGGTCTGCAGTAATTGTGGCCCCCCGGAGCAGTTTAGTTGAATAGCCCTGCAGTAGGCTCTTACTGGCCCAGGATCCAATCCAGCCTCCAATCTTCACTAAAAGAAAATATAAAAACGCCCAGAAAACAAAGACCACCTAATTAAATATCAGATTCATCATTTTCCAAATCACAGAGAAGTCTGTTTCCATTGGATTAGTATCACAGAGCTCAGTTCAGCTGAATACAGCAGGTAATTTGTGGAGGAATTTTTACTTTACAAATAACTGACATGATTGACAGGAGATGAACACCACAGAGCATCTCTGCAGTTACTAACATGTGGTCCCTAAAACTAATCCTGTCAGAGCAGGGCCTAACTTACTGTTCTCTGTCATTTATTTAAACAGTAAACTAAATGTTTGTGCAGCACCAAAACAAATGATCTTAGCAATAAATGAACCTGACTCTTGTTTTGACCACATTTAAAACTAGTGCTTTAAGAATGAAACCTCTGTGAATTCTGGAGGTCTGCTGTAAACATAGTGTGGTTTATTAAAAAAAGACATCTGATATAAAAGTAAATCCAGAGTGACATCTAACGTGTTGATGATCCACCTCGTAACATTTAGCAGAACCTGACACCTGGCTGCTGTTGTTTCACACATCTAACCTTCATTCTTCTGCCTCCCCACCATCAATCTTTTCATCTTGTTTCTGTCTGAAACATTGAGTCCTCTTTCTTCTCTCATCAATCTTCTTTAAACGTTCCTTCAGCCTGACAATAAATCCTGCATGTTCAGAGATGAGGGAGCTGAGCATCTTCCAGTATTTGTTCATTAGCAGATGGAGATGTGAGAAGTGGAACAAATAAATATAGATTTCACTTTTATTTCTCCTTTGTGAGACTTGCTGGTTTTAAGTTTTCAATGCTGAGCACATGTTAGGTGTGTGTGCTGCACGGTTCTTATTTATCTTCCATGATTAGGATTCCTGCAGCCGGCTCATGGGTTTGTGTGTCAGAGCTGTTTGCAGTGGGATGATTCTCTTTTCCTTTTATCTTCGACCTGAGAGTCAAACCAAATGAAATCCAGTCATCAGGTGTCCCCTCTCCCTCAGGTCAGCAGGTGATCGACGAGCAGCGCCGTCGTCTGGCCGAGCTCAAACAGAGAGCTGCAGCCGAGGCTCAGTGCCAGTGGGAGGCTCTGCACGGCTCCCAGCCCCACCTCATGACCCTGTCCTCCACCGGCCATGCCCCGGTCATGGCTTACAGCCCCACGCTGAGCCACAGCTCTGTGGGCCCCCCTCCTCTGGTGCACCACTCCATCCTTCACCACCAGCTGCCTCCATCAGCTGGAGAGCAGCCGTACGACACGCTGAGCCTGGAGAGCTCTGACAGCATGGACACCAGCGTGTCCACGGGTAACAACTCAGCCTGTTCACCTGACATGTCCAGGTGTGTGCCACACACACACACACACACACACACACACACACACACACACACACACACACACACACAC